CCAAAAAAATCTGTAGCTAATAAATCACATCAGCCACGTCAAGTTCAGGGTGAAATTCCCGAAAGAACTTGAGAGATACGTGACATCCTCCCATCATTGTAGCTAGAGAAAAGTACCATTGCATTGCTGTCATTATGTGGAATAGATTGTTACCATAAGTCAGGATACAGAAAGCTTGACCTACGAGTGTAGTTTGCAAATCTTTAAGCACAGGTGGCCAAATTGCTGTCAACAATCGGGTGAAGTGTTTGGAAGTTTAAAGTGACGCTGGTTCAGTCTGGTTACTAGTACTTGGCTCATAGGAAGACAGCCAAGAAGTTGCTAACACGAAGACAATTGCACGAGCTAGAGGCAATGAGGAAAAACATGGAGGTTATACTGTCGACGCTAACACGCGGAGGGAGGGATTGTTATTATGGACAAAACCGAATACCAGCGTAAGTATTACTTGAGGATCACTCGAAGTTGGTGAAAAGGTTAAAACTCGACGATTGGAAAGGCCATATCTGAATCAACCAGACAAATGAAACAAAAAAGCTAATCGATTCGCCGACATTTTGAAAGAATTCGTCCCATCGGTACCACTATTCCCAGATGTCATGGATTCTCCAAGATATATAGTGAAGGGGCTACTTTACTACCCGTACTATAAGTAACTACCCGTATCATAGGTTGGCAAATTGATTGACCGAACAATTGCAACTAACCGGGTGGCAGCTAGCAACTCATAGTTTGCGTGACACGCTCGAGTTCGTAGACAGCATTAGAACTCAAAATGATGACAACAAGCCACAATGTGACGTCATTTGACAATATATTCGAATCAAAGAGATAATCGATTAGCATGCCAAGCACATCGAGCCACAGGTGAACAAATTGGCTTAACGGTGGAAGATCTGAAGACGCTACTTCATCAGTTTACTCAACGTCCAAATCTGTTTTACCGGATAGTAATACCGACAAAAAGACGGACTAGCATTGGGTCCACTGTTGGCTGATGTTCATGGTCCGTCTAAAAAACAGTCCGCCGAATAAAATGACTGAGCGGCTGCCAACCTACAAACGCTATCTCGATGAGATAATTCGCATAGCTGGCGGGCTCCGTAGACCAGAATGGATTGTTACGGAAATTCAATCAGGCACACAGGAACGTTTAGGTTTGCATGTAACCTGAAACAAATAAAGGTCTGGCATTCCCGGATGTTGAAATCTCACGTAAACCAGATGGGTCATTGCAGCGTGGAATCCACAGGAAAACGACATGAACGGGTTAACATACACAATGCCAGCTTTGTGATAGTTCCACAAAAACAGAACCTAGTCCGGTGTATTGTTGGAAGGGAGATGAAAATATGCTCGGAGGACACAACAGAAAACAGCACACAGTTATAAGAAATGTGTACCTTAATAACGGCTATCCAGAAACCTTTATTGATAGGAATATGCACAGTGACTGTGTGGTCGCCACAGTAAGAAAGAAACCCGTCTACTTTTTGTTGACGTTCAAGTGACACAACAGTTCCGAACATCTCAGCGAACAGTTACGAGGAGGCGTCAGTAACACCTATGGTGTCGCACAGTTACGCATTGTCTCCACTTCCACGCACATGCTATACCAGCTGAAGGACAAACTGTCTATGGATGTCACCTCCATCTGTGTGCACCAAGTTACCTGCTCCTGTGACGTTTGTCTGAATGCGTTCGCGAGCACCCCCAGCAGAGGATGTAACAAGATGTGCACCACCACAATAGTCCAACGAATCACCCCGTCGTTATCTCCAAAGCCTTTTGCCCGATTAATCGTATGGGGAGTGTTCATTGCAAACTTATCCGACGCTGAATGCATGCATTGGCGGTGGCGATGGTGAATCGTCTCAACAACACCCCTATGTGTGTGCGTAAACAGGTTTTGGCTGGACCGTGGCCAGCTGTCGTCCGGGCAGTTTCCGTGTGAGCAAATCACACCCATCCCCACTGTCAGACAGCTGCAGAAGGTTGGACACGAGCTGGGATATGGCAGAAGTATGTACGCGATTACGGAAGGCAGGAAACGAAACCCAAACGCGCAAACCACTAAGCTAATGAGAGAATAAGTTTGGTGCAAACTCAGGAAGGTGGTAAATGCAGATCCGTCAGAGTTTATAAGAGAAATGGTCAGAAACAAAAATAAAAGGGAAATAGACATTAGGTAGAGCAAACGAACGAGGGAGATGGGAACAGAATTATGCAGTGGAGGTGGAAAACACCTCACCTCAGCCATTGCGCCATAAGTTTGACTGCTTCGTTGGACAAGAGCATGGCGACAGGGCGGGAGTGACGCTACGCGTTTGCATTTGAGTTGAAACTAGAAAGTAAACGACTATCTGAGCAAGGTGGAGAGGAATTGAAGATAGGGGATAAAAAGTGAATTTGGAACTGGATGATAGGAGCGAAGTGTTGGAGGAGGAACAATAAGACGGGAAGACTTCAGCAGCAACATTCAAACCCCTATCCACCCTGCATCAGATAGGGCACAGTTAGTTATCTTCTGCGAAGGCCAGAGCATCGAGAGATGGTTAGAAGGAAAAGTTATGGTTTGTATTGCGCGGGCAGGATACCGTCAGGTTGCCCAGGCCTAAACAGGAGGACGATAAGGGTTTTCAAGCAAAGCCTTTGGTTCAAAAACCTGATCGCAAGGCAGTGGGGTTTTGGCACCGCGTAACAGAGTTCAACCTGGAGAACCAGGAGGCTGAGTTAGTCTGGCCTCTAACTATTGACCAATATGGTATGAGTAGCTCTGAAGGTGCGACAAAGCACCACCCAGCACAGCTCAATGGATCACCGAGGCACACAAACCATCGCATCACGGTAAAGTCCAGCCTCAGTGCGATGGAGGATAATAATATAATGAACAGGATTATCAAAATCGGAGAGACTGCTATATGCTCACCACTTCTATGAAACGAAAGAATACCAAGATAATGAAGAAAGTGGAGGTCACCAGTGCAGTGTGTAAGCGGATGACTGGCTTGCCAATTGAAGAAATAAGCCAATGTATCTCAGAGGTCAGATCCTAGTAAATATAACAAGCCTGCTGATGACGAAATGGAGATCCACAGACGCGTATCAACATCGTGAGCACACACTGAGGAGCAGCCATGAACCCGAATAAGGGAAGCAAGTGTGATGGCTATTCGGATGGGACCGGAAGTGAACCACCGCAATAATGTGCAGCCATTTGCGGACAGAAATAGGTGAACAGTTTAGTGCTTGTGGGGAACCATACGTAATAAACACCAAAGAGGGAAAAGCAATGTCCTAGAGTAAAGCATTTTCAGGAGAGTAGTTTGCAAAAGGTGTCTTTTGCTTCATCATGCCGGACGGTTCAACACATCCAGGCGAATCCGAATCCCAAAGGAATGGAGAAAGAGTCACAAGTCATCGTAATCATCAGATCAAGGAAGCGAATCGCTGCCAGTAGAATATCACATTGTGAAGTAACCAAGAGTGGACCTTGTGGCGTAAGAAATGGTCCCAAGAATGGAACGGTAAAACAGAAGTCGAGAAACAAATAAGCGTGCATGTTCAGTCACACCGAAAAATGATAGTGAGGAGTGAATCTTCAGTAATTAGAACGGGATACTAGTTGCGTTCACGTACAACGTACTCCACATTTATGCTTCGATGGTCTAAAATGCACGGTTTGTGAAGGGCGCGTTGCAGTGGAAGTCTTTAAAGAAGCCAGTCGAAAAGAAGAGACCAAAGAGAGTATGAGGAACAAGTCTAGAAACTAAGCTAGGATGGTATGTGCAATCGAACTGAATCAAGAGTGGTATCGGGATCGACCGGATCAGCAGCTCCAATTGCCATCACGCACCGGCTCGATCGATGAGTCGGTGACGCTCTAGCGCTAGTGGTCTTTCACGACGGGAGATTGCGTGGTACTGCCCATGTCTAACGGAAATCTGAAATTCGCAATGGTGACGTTCGTGAGTCGGTGCTGGACAACAAACTTTTGATCGCATAAGATTTTATTTCGAACTTGAGACGGCTTCAGTGATGAACCTTTATCTTGGTGCGCGTTGGCTTCGGACACTGCGCCTAGTTGGATGATGCAACTGGTGACATGTAAAACTGAGAAGCCCAGTGGGGTAGTCGCCTAGACTGTGGCGCTTTTGCATACAGTACTTTGTATAGCGTCGTTAATCTCTTCGTATTCTGATATTCTTATTTGGAATAAAAAAGGGAAATACATGTTTCAAAAATATTTATCCAACAATGAACTCTAAACATCTGTGTCGAGCGTTGCTTGCGGAGTTTAGTAGCCCAATGATCAAGGGGTCCATCGCCAGCCACCATATGCCGAGTTCCACTCATAGCTTCGGTATTTCCTCCATCCGAGGAGTCACAAAAGACGAAATCGGACTTGGAATGGTCTGCTTGTACTTGCAATAAATTTGTAATCCTTTGCGTTCTCCTGTAGAATAGAGCAACTTCTTGGCATCATGCGTTATGGCGATTTGGGTCACCGTAATTTAATGCTCGAATCATAGTTGGCCAATTGCCCGACGCATTGTCAGTAACCACCTGTTATTCCCTTGATGTTCCTTGAACAATCTACCATTTATGTTTGGAGGTTTCAGACTGAGAGAATGTGAGTCAAGGACTAGGCGTGTTCGACAGAAAAGCGCACCAGATGTATGAGGATTATGGGTGAATAAGGTGGGGGACGGACTGTCCATCGACTGCAAGGTAGCCCGTCCCACAGTCGATTAGTGCCCCTAAGGGAAGATATCACAAGTTCGGACAGTAATTCGATATCAAAAACGTTCAGAAGATGGTGATAACCCGACGCACAGACTGCTAACTACGAAAGTGATGTTTTGTGGGAGTACAAATACGTAGTTCATGCCAATTTTCCCACAGCCGCACCGGTAACGAGCAAAACTAGGCGCAGATTCAAACCACAATGTTATGAATACCGCAAGTCACAGAGTAGCCATAATAAAAAGTTTGAAAGTTGTAGGGAAAGTATATTTCATTTAGACTAAACAGAAAAACAATTCGATCTAACTCTGAGAGGTGTCAAGACGACAAATGCAAGAATTAGAAATGCAGTACGAAATCAGAGAAGTTAACTCGTGTTTGTGAAGATGCATCTAGGTCTAAGTGATGCTCAAACGGCGCATGACTCGATCAAACTCACCGTAAGACTGATCGGATGATTTGGTGTAGTTATATTTTGCAGAATCCACCGTGAACGGAATAGATGCGTTGTGAAAGTGACGGGGCAAAGAGACAGGTTGTTGAGTGTTGATAGAGTGACGCGAACTCGTTCTGGATCCTCGAGATTGCGCGGGGACATCAGGGATGCAAAGACCAAACCAACGAGACTGTGCACACAACAAGTCCCAAGAGACCGGAGTGCCGTATTTACCATTCATAAGGCCATCAACTTGTTGGGCTGAAGAAGAAGAAGAAAACCCAAAGAAGAGTAAATCATTTTTACTTTTACGAAAGCACGAGTTGCGTTTTAAACGAACACGGTTGTCCACATACCCATACGCAAGCACAAAATGAACTGTTACCAAAGAAGCGCAACACACATAGTGGAGGGTACAGGTCGATGACTATCTAACTGACTGGCACCCCTTTACAAGTGGGGTGCCTCAAGGCACTGTGCTGAGGTCCACTCTGGTCCTGATCCACATCAACGATCTACCTCAGCTTCTCCGGTCTCCATGTGCCTTGTTTGCGGACGACATGAGGATATGGAGAGAAATTGATGCTCCCGATCACTGTGGCCTACTTCAGTAAGACCTCAAACGCCTATCCACATGGTCTGCAGAAGTTCTTCTCCCGGTCAACCCAGCCAAGTCTATATTTATGAGCCTGGGGAAGGGCGCTGACGGCCGAACCTACACCCTTGACGGCTAACCACTATATCCTACACCCTCCGTGAAGGACCTAAGTGTACTCTCGCGCTACGATTTGAAGTCCGTGGACAGCACAAACAGGCTATATCGTAACGGACTGCGCATGCTTTGGGCGCTCAAACGTAGCTTCGGCACATGGTTTGAAGAGGTTGCCACTCGCCTCTTCTCTTCTATCATTAGACCAATGCTAGAGTACGGTTCGCCCGCCTACCTTCCGATTACCCGAGGCGAGGCACAAAAGATCGAACGGGTCCAACACATTGCTACCAGGCTCATCCTGAGTTTACGTGGCTTTGGGTATGAAGACCGGTGCGAGAAACTAGGACTCCACACCTTGTCCTACCGTCGGGTACGAGTCGACCTCATTATGACCTACCGTATTCTATATCTCGGTGACATCCCAATGCTAAGGCCAATGCTGCACTTACGAGGGCCATGCAGCACAAGCGGACACAGATACAAACTTGTCGTGCAGGATGTGAAACGTGTTCCCCACCCGCTGTGCTTCGAACGGAGAGTGGTAAGTATTTGGAACAATTTACCTGAACATGTGATGGAGGCAATATCTGTGCAGCAGTTCATAAGGTTGATAGATTTATATTTTACCACCATTCGATTCAGAGAACGATTGCACACTTACGATGACATATCACATTTGTGAGTCCTGAAATATCGTGAGCCAGATATTTTAAAGGTTACATGAGAACGACAATGATATTCACGGCTGACAACTTTTATAACGTTTTTCACCATATTTCGAAACAGCTGCACATAATTTATTTCTATTTGCTTTATAATACAGTATTCAGTATTCATATGACGGCCATGCGAGGTAAATGTTCGACAATGGGATGCAATGCGGAGAAGGAGAGCTTGAAAACTTTCAGAGTGAAGAAGCGCAGATGGATCAGATGGCATAAAGTTGTACATCTCCAAACCCCTCACAACTCGGTGCGAAAAGCATGCCCCTGAATAGCTTGGCTGAACAACCAACAACACCGTATCATCCAGTAATAAGCCCGTTTATAATCGGGGTTATAGGTCAAGAGGTGTGCATACATTGCAAATAGGCAAAATGTGGTGACACCTGCGCCATCTAGGCGATTCAATTCGGGCGAATCTAGCATGATTATTAATCCATGCGCCGGACAAGGTAATCTGAATTATAACGCAAATAATAGGCGAACCATCAGGCCAAATGGATAAACGGAGCTAGTCCACACTACTTAAATATATGCACAGCAGCAACATTGCCGTTTACCTACGTAGGGAATCATGCGTACCAGAGGTACACAAAACGGGTGGCTAGCACGAAATCCGCTCCAGATTGGATGCCTGGAACCACTACTCAAGCCAAACATGGCTAGGGGGACCGTGCACACCGTCAACCTCTCACAAACAACCCACAGTCCCCAGGAGCCAGTAACCGACGTGGAGGCTGTTAGACAGGTAGGCACCTTGTCAACATACACATCAATCGCAGCGACACCGAATACCAAACAACAAACAGATTTTGAGGGAAAGTAAAGACGCAAAAATGACCCAGAATATGCAGCGGAATAACAGAATTGAACAACACAAATAAAGTGGGATGATTTTTATCCAGATTTAAAAGACCTAGTTTAAGTGTAAGTTGGTTTAGCTCAACTGCGGTGAAGAAGCAACAAGACAGCAACACCAGCCTCAGCATGGGGCACACATACATACATGGTTAGCGGCATCCGGTTTCGGATTTGCCTGTCACTGTGGCCAGCCACAGGACGCCTGCGCCTACAGAGGGACCATGTATGGCTTGCGCTGCACCACCCATAGCTCCAACCACACACCCCACCCATACCCAGTGTAAACCCGAAGGAATAAGACCGGGAGGCATGTGGATGGGAGCCACGTTTCATCAACGGATCCGGCCCACACTCATTCACAGGCAAAAACAAGCACGCGGTATTTGGGGAATCAAACGCACACAAGGCGGTGGCTGGACCGTAGCCCGCTCCACAATGAGTAAATGGAACCATTCTTCGAGCCTAGCACGACCACGAAGACCGCGCACCCCGTTCCCTCCAGCAACGACCAACTGTCTCCTGGAGCCAGTATGAACGAGGTAGTGGGTAATAGACAGGTAGGCGCCTTGTCAACATGCACATCAAGCGCAGCCACACTTGTTATAACAAGCAACAGTCAATCACTTGAGACGACAAGATGAAATAAAATAAATCGAATAATGCATACAGATACGGTGGCATAACTCTTCGCTAAGTTACCATATGAAGTAAGTTGGTTAGCAACGAGTCCGCGATAAGTAAGAAATGTCCACAAGTTACTTAAAAATGCTACAAACGCAACAAAGGTAACGAAGATAAGCACAATTACCGTAAGCAACATGGAAATTTAATAGAAGATTATTCAGGTAGGCAGAACAAACCAAATAAAGTGGAATGAAATGTATCCAGCTTAAAAAGACCTAGTTTAAGTGTAAGTTGGTTTAGCCCAACTGCGGTGAAGAAGCATCAAGAATGCAACATCAGCCTCAGCATGGGACACAATGGTAAACACATAAAGTCTGTGATAAACCCTAACTTGTTAGATGTGTATACGAGGAGACCGATTGTCGAGTATAATTGGTTTCCTCACCAAAGCCTTAACACAACTACTTCAGTAAATAGTCAATTTGAAAAAGACAGCATAATAAGCACAGTGTAGTATATAAGACAAATCGAATTCACTAGAGTATTCCATTCACTCACCTGAAAGTTGTGTGGTGTTAGGTGATTCTTCAAGACAACGGCCAAATGCCAGTTCCATGTCATGTATACGTGGAATGAAAGCGTGCACTTCATGGTCTATTACCGACCTCATCTTGAAAACAAGAAAAAGGGGGCATCAAAATGGTGGCACACGGAGGGGCGGAAAGCAAAGATGAAAGTGTACAATGCAAAACAGTCATTCAAGAAGTGAAAATAAGGACCAAATGAGGAGAAATAACGATGGGTCAAAACGTCGGTGGAAGTCTCACGCAAACTGGAATCAGTGCAAGGTCTGTGTGCACAATTGTTTAAGTTCATGAACAAATGCCACACAATTGGCAGTGTCACGATCGTGAACAGAACATCAATACCGTGAAGAAGATGGTACCTAAATGTGTGCATTCTATTTTAGTAATTTTCTTCAATTTCTGACCAATGGGTACTACGCGAAGCCGTTATCAGTGCTTGGGAAGGTAGATAATGGACGCCATCGCTGAGATAGCAAGATGGCAAACAAGATTAGCAGCACAAATTAAATCGAAGAGAGAGCTGCCAATGTGGTCACGGGAGCAGATGCTTTAACCCACCTCTTCGTAAGACAGACTGCTTGGCTGACGCGCACTTGGACCCTGCAATTCAGTGGAGACAGAAGCCTCCATTAGGTTGGCTTGTTTGGCCACTTCGGTAACCAAGGAGGACAAAAGCGAGGAACCCGTGCGTTCGCGTTCGAGCCCAGTCAGGACAGCCGCACGGACAGCCCGTTGAATGAGCTGTCGGAGTTTGAGAGGCAGTCCCTGTCTACCGGGAAGCAATCCATCGGCCAACGCATAAGTTAAAGCGCGACTGTGATCTGTCAGTAGGCGATAGGCGATATCGCGGTGCCACTGAGATAGTAGCTCCTCATCTTTGTCATCCCCGGACAGGAAATGAAGATCACAGCTGGAAACCGTTTCATGGTGATTGTCGGGTGGACATGCCATCTGCAACATGATAGGTCGAACAATATCCCAGCAAAAGAAGCCTTAGGCGAAGTAAAAAAATAAAATGATGGAATCTTCACTGCGAGCGAGGTGTATGTATCTAATCGATTCTAGCGAATATCACGAAACTATCGTTATGACATTTATGTACCCACGGACGTCGCGGATTTTTGGATCAACGTGTGCTGGATACTAATTTTGCCTCAGATTACTGTGTTAGCAGCGTTTTATCTGTGTGAATTGTGCACCATTTTTCTTCTTTTGGCGTATTTTCCAAGCGGTGCAAATTTGGCGGCTATTCTTTGGCTAATTCCGGAGATCTCATTGATTTGCCATACTGCCATCTCTGTCCGCCATCTTAGATTTGCTCTAGCTTGTGATGCCGTCTCAAGCTACTTGTGGTTCGTGTACGAAAGTTGTGGGAAATAAGGCTCATGCACTTCGATGCTTCGGCTGTGATGTTTTGTTCCACATTTCGTGCATTGGCTTATCCGTTGACGTGTTTCGAAAATCGCTCGACATCCGACATCGGTTTTTCAAGTTATATGTGATAAATGTCGCGGTACAAGACATCAGAATTCGCAGCGACCGAAAACAACTACGGGAAAATCTCGCTTTCAGATAGAAACAAACCGTTCACCACATGGGATCAAACGCCCTCGTGAAAGTACCTCTGTCTCCTCGCCTTCTATTATCACTCCGCGATCTGCACCACCACCAGCGTCTTCGACCCCGGCCGAACCCCAGGTTCAATGTTTCCCACCGATGGAAGACTCAGACGCAGAAGCTACGAAATGCCGCTTCACTGATCGGTCCGTGAATTTCTCAGAGCCTGTCTGTGAAATTCTGAACACCGAGGATCCATGGACCACTCAAAAGCGCAAGGGCCCACGTAATCGAGTTCAGACGTCACCTGCTGATAAACAACAACCCAATTAGTTCAGCGCCTCTAGTTCTGCTCCCACAGGTTCATCACTGATTTCGCTGAGGCGTCATAATTTCATGGTCTTCCATGTACCGGAGTCAAAATATGAAAACCCTAAGATACGTTATGATCACGATGTTGAGTTCTTCCAGGGGCTCATCGATAGACTCTTGGATGTGGGCGAGGACAGTGTGGCGATTAAACAAGTAATTCGACTTGGCCAGAAAACTAACCAATCATGTCGACCTCTGAGGATCACCTTTGCAAATCCTAATATGCCGCAGCTCATACTGTCTCGTCTGTCAAGGCTGAAAGGCATAAAAGTTCACATCCGCCGAGACTTGGAACCCGAAGACAGGGATCGTTTGAAGACTGCGGTCATTGAGCTCAAACGCCGTACAGAGGAAGGTGAGACTAACTTACAAATTGTAAATTTTCGGGTGATCAAGAAGGGTGTACGAACCCGTATCAACCGGTTGCTCAACCTCCAGACACGTCCCGCAGTACCTCCCAGAACCTCCGTGTGGCATTCGCCAACGTGTGCAGCCTAATGAACAAACGTGACGAACTGTGCCGCTTCGCTGTCTCGGAGCGGCCGGATATTTAAGGACTTGCAGAGACATGGCTGAACTCCGACGTCAAACCCCAAGAAGTCGTGTTGTCAGGATACTCTTGCTTCAGATGCGACCGAAAATCAAAGGCTCACGGTGGTGTTCTGTTGTACATAAAATCGTCACTATCTGGCAAGCTTACCAGTACCTATCGGAGCGAGGATAGTTTATGTGAGCAGTTGTGGTGCACAATCCGCCTCAGGCGCGCAGAACTTATAGTGGGGGTTACCTACCGGAGCCCGTTAAACCGTTGCTGCGATTGGATACCACATGTACAGAAGCAAATGAGCCGCCCTCAGTTCTTACTGATGGGGGAACTAAATTTACCTAAGATAATCTGGCCAGATGTTCGACTTCTTCAAGGCCAGGGCAACGTTGAGGCTCAATTCGCTAAAATGACTATTGAAATCGGGGCAACGCAACGTCATCCAACCGACGCGCGTAACTCCGTACTCGGCAACTTGTTTGGACCTAATGTTTACGAGCTGCGAGCAGAAGCTAAAAGAGATCAGAGTCATCGAACCTCTGACGAACAGTGACCACTGCTCTATTGTAGCAAGCTTAGAACTGTCGTTACCATATTACAACCAACAGAAGCCGACATTCAACTATTGAAAGACGGACTTCAACGGACTCATCCAAGCCGCAAGTCAGACTGATTGGACACTACCACATGATGCGTCACTTGAGGCGTGGTGGTCATTAATAAAGGGAAGCTTAACTCGCTCTGTACTCGGTTCGTTCCCCTTAAGTATCCAAAAATCAGACCTGTCAAACTGCATTGGTTTGATAGGGAATACAGACAGTTAGCGCGACGATGTGGTAAACTTTGGGATAGATACATCAGCTCGGGTTGTGATGAAGATTAGACGGTGTACAAGAAACAGCGTAACTTATGTAACGCCGCAAAGATCAAGAAACGCCGGCAGTTCGAAGAGGAGCTAGCATCCTCGGCCACAACTGCACCCAAAAGAATATTTGCCTACTTGAAACGTCAACTGAAACCTGGGGACGACCTACCGGTCTTAGAGAGCTTAGACGGGAAGACACTCATTTCAAGCGCGGAGCGCTCGGACGCCCTGGATACGCACTTCCTCACTGTATTTTCCAGTAAACCGGCGGCTGTTCCAATACCGGCACAGGTTGCGCAAGTCTTGCTCGACAATCTACAATGTGATGCAGTCGAAGTGTACCAGCTACTCGTCAACCTCAATGGTGCAAAGCCCCACGGGATCAGACGGACTTCACCCACTAATACTCAAGTCCCTATCGATTATCATCTCACCAGCTGTGACAAACCTTTTCAATAGATCGCACTCTGAAGGATCTGTCCCGAACGACTGGAAATGCTCGATAGTTAAACCGCTTCCCAAGGGTGGTGATCCGAGTAAAATAGAGAACTATAGACCGATCTGTTTGACTTCTGTATTATCCAAAGTTCTCGAGAAGGTTGTGAAAAAGTGTCTGCTGTCGTTCTTCGAATCGATGGACGTATTGACGCCAGCGCAACACGGCTTTACGAAAGGGCGATCCTGCATCACCAACTTGATGTACGCAAACCACCAGTGCGTTCGAGCTCTCAATGAACAGAAGGATGTTGACGTGGTCTACATCGACTTTAGTAAGGCGTTTGACAGAGGGAACCACGAGGTACTCCTTCGGAAACTGAGGACATACGGAATCGGTGGCACGTCACTTCAGTGGATACAAGAGTTTATTGTGGGACGAAGGTTTAGAGTAAAGGTCAATGACTATCTGACAGAATGGTTCCCATCGACCAGTGGCGTGCCTCAAGGAACTGTACTTGGGCCAGTATTATTTATCATTCATATCAACGATCTTCCGCAGCAGCTCCACTCACCATGTGCCCTGTTTGCAGATGAATTGAAAATCTGGAGTATCACTGAAAACCAAGACGACTGCGCTCGCCTCCAGCATGACTTAGAGCGACTGTCAACGTGGTCCGCTGAAATGCAACTTCCTCTTAACGCAAGCAAGTCGGAGTTCATCAGTATCACCAGACGTCCAACTACTCGATCATACACCTTGAACGGCCAGTTGCTCCATCCCAACATATCTGTCAGAGACTTAGGAGTTCTCTAACGACATGATTTAAGATCACTAGAAAACACAGAGAAATTGTACCGTGCGGGACTTCGTATGCTCTAGGCATTAAGACGCAGTTTCTCCACATGGTCCGAAGAAACCGTCCCTCGTCTATTCACCTCGCTCATTAGACCAATCCTTGAATACGGTGTCCCAGCTTACCACCCGATATCATCATCATCATCATCAACAGCAGTACATCAGCCATTTGAACTGATGCTTCGCTGCCACAACCATGAGGACCTATGAAATAAAGAATAAGAAGAGGGAGAGAAAGGGGGACTTACCTGAAAACATTAATGCCCTAAGCAAACATTCTGGGTCAAGGCGCCTACACATTGTGTAGACAACATACCGTCACAAACAGCTGGCTATCGAGCAAAGATAAGGCAGCATCGGCGAGACAGCTTCCTTGCGGCTTTCACTGCCACGCGTCATAATCAGCCATTACCCCGCAGATAACTCAGCACCAAACATACTTTAAACAGGCAATCCGATTAGGAGACGGCAGCAGACACGCCCCTGGTGTAGGCTGCGAGCCATGTCCTGCAAAGTCTCGAGCCAAGCACAAGGTGAGTCATGTGGACTCCAACTCGGAAGGCGAGACGGACCAATGGCACCCAGTTTGGTTGTCAGTGACTTCATTTCCCGCTGCTAAGTCGACTTCTGTCCACCTCGAGTCTTGCGCCATCGTACACCTGGCAGAATGAACAAGGCCCTCCTAGGTAAGCGGTGACCAGGCGTACGTAGCACGTGCCCGGGCCAACGCAATTTATTCAGTGCTATCTGTTGTTCTAGGGAGCTAGCATGATTGTCACTACCCAGTACTCGTCTACGCACATCATCGTTGCGGACACGCTGGTGAAATCCGACACAAACAATGTATCGCAGACAACGATGATCAAAGACTTGAAAGCGCCTCAGATCTCCAGATCGAAGGGGCCAAGTTTCACTACCGTGGAGCAGAACGGCTCTCACTGTGGCCTTGTATACACGCAATTTCAGACGGAGGGAAACTCCCTTCTGTCGCCAAATATGCCGCAGGTTCAAGAAGGCAGCTCTGGCCTTTGCAATGCGTGAGCTCACGTCAGTTTCTATGCGCCCATCGTTGCTGATGCAGCTGCCAAGATAAGTGAATTGATCAACCACCTCGAGTTCCTCGTTAGAAAGCGTCAACGGGTCATCAAGTGGCTGGTGGTACTGCAGCAACACTTTGCACTTTGAAGGTCCAAAGTGCCTACCAAATAATGTGACCACTCTGGACAGGCTATTCAGGGTTGATTGTGCCGCCCCAACATCGTCGAAAAGCAACACGATATCGTCCGCATAATCTAGATCAACTATCCTTTTACCAGGCA